TAATACTAACATATTTTAAAATAAAAAGTGAGTATTAAATTAAAATACAGTTATTTTATAGTACACTTAAAAATACAATGCCAATATTTACATTTTCTTTTTTTAAATATGAATTTTCAACATTTTCAAACCTAAAATCAGCAAGCATTCATTTTGGCAGGTTGCCGGCAAGTAAACATATGCACTGCAGGTTTTAGCACTATCGAGTGCAGCGCGTCAGTGAATGAAATGCCATAGTTTTGCTGTTAAACCGGCAGCACATAGCCTAGATTTATGTGTTCAGTTCGAATAGAAATCTTATAAAGTATTACAGTATTAATCGATCTAAAACGGTGATTATGCATTAACAGCTGTCAACCATGTCGGTCCGCAAATGAGCGTTCTGAACTTATTTACCCAGTGCATTTTTTATTTCGGTCGCTCATGCGCACCACTTATGTGCATCCCTGTCTATATATCTAACTGAATAAAATAACCTACATCAGTAAAAGACAAACCAATATTAATAAAAGTGCAATATCTTTGGTCACATCCTCTGTCCTTGACAGGCACTGATCAACCCAGTGTGAACACGTTCCTTTGTGTGTAATTCTTACTGTTGTATAAAGTGATGACATGAAGGCAGTTGAGCAGTTGTCTCTTGTACTCATGGATTCTTTTGACCTGGATGTCAAAGATGGACTCAGGATTTATCTTTACTTTGTACTCACTCTCCAGATACGCTGCAAACTTCAGCTTATTCTCCTAAAATAAATAAATAAATAACATGAAACCAAAAATATATAAAAACAATTTTTATATATATATATATATATATATATATAAAAAAAACACAAACAACAACATAAATGTAGACCTGTTTCACTTTGGCCACATCCCGAATGAACATTTCATCATTGACAAAGTCCAACAGTTTTCTTAGCTGGAAAAGATCTGTCAGGAATTCCTCACCAATTTTCTGAAAGGAAAACAAGCATAAGACAGAAAGAAAACCTGTGGGGGAAGAGCAAGCAAGAGCTACTTAGTTAAGAAGGTCACCTCAGCGATGATGTCAGCCAGGCCAGGGTTGCACAGCACCAGCCAGCGACGAGGTGTGATACCGTTTGTCTTGTTCTGGAACTTCTCTGGCTCAATGTCACAGAAGTCCTTAAACCTTAAACCACCAAAGAAATGTCTTAAATGTCTCCAAGTTCTAAATGTCTAATATATCAATATACAATTGTCCTAACTAGTATCTCTACACAGAACTACATTTTGAAACCGAAATTATTAAAAAAAAAAAACCTCCCTGGAAATAATTTATTACAATTGTATTTGTAATAAATGTAATAAACAGAATTTGCATCATTCCTCTGTCAAATATTCTTGTATAACAACTGATGCACTCTACTCACACAGTGGTTTTGACAATGTCTGAGTGAATCCGTGCAACTCCATTAACGGCGTGTGACCCAACCACACAAAGGTGAGCCATGTTGATCCTCTTTGGATTGCCCTCCTCGATCAGAGACATCCTGCGCAAACGATCACTGTCGCCTGGATACAGCGCAGCAACTCTCTACAACAGAGACTCGGTCAGACAAACCAGTTCATTTAACGACATGATGATCTTGAGGTGGAGTAAGTGAGAATCCTCACATCCAGATGTCGCTGGTTGATCTCGTAGATGATCTGCAGGTGTCGTGGCAGAAGTTTCTCAAACATGTAGATAGGCCAGCGCTCCAGAGCCTCAGGTAACACTGTGTGGTTTGTGTATGCGCACGTCTTTGTGGTGATCTCCCATGCCTACACACACACACACAGGTTTCCATGTTTTATGGGGACATTCCATAGATGCAATGATTTTTATACTGTATAACTGTAATTTCTATCCTACCCTAACCCTCACGCAAAACTTTCTGCATTTTTAGATTTTCAAAACAACATTTACTGGTATTACTATTCCCTACCATAACATAGGGAACACAAAGTACTCACACACACACACTTTAATACTAATTTTGATAACTTATTAAAAATAAAAATTACATAAATTGAAACAAATAAAATACCAAATTTCCATGAAAAGTTGACAATTTTTCCTTTGTTAATTTATAAGTTGGCTGGCTGTGTGAACAATACTTTTCTTTAGATTAGCATTGCTATATCTATTATTCATGTCAGAATGACTAAGCAGAAAAATGCAGAACAACAAAACAACCAAGGAATTGGTTTGCTTTTCATTTGTGCCATAAAACACCCATATCAACTAATTTCAGTAAATGCATGTCTATGAATAAATGAATTATTAGTAAATATTATTCCATTATCTCAACACACAGTTTGACAGCTTGAACGTCACACCTTTTCCCAGTCCAGCTGCTCTATATCCAGCAGGTTCCTCATGAGTTCAGGAATCGCCAGAGCTGGATGAGTATCATTCAACTGGATTGCCACCTGAGAGTTGTTTTGAAAGCATTATACTTTTTTGGGGGGATATTATATAGGTTGACTCGAACAAGAATTTTGTGTCAAATTTAAAAACAGCAACCAATTAAACATATTTAATGTATTATCACCTTTTCAGGGAAAGCCTCAAAAGAGGTGCGCACAGGATCCCTGCAGCCAAACTTTGAAGATTTAAAGCGTCTCATGATGTCCTGCAGAGTAGCAGCCACCACAAAGTACTCCTGCTTCAAACGGAGCTCCTTCCCTTCAAAAAACTAACATGCGCATACAAAGAAATTAATTAATATTAAAGTCATTCACACTGAAAGCTTTACAAATACAAAGCATTTCATTTTCTGTCAGTTTTTCTAATAGAATTAAGCATTGTGTTTTCTGCCTGTATTATACAGTAGCTGTAAGAAAAATATTAATATACACTAGTGTATCATGACACATAAGCCAACTGTGTTGCTCAGGACTCCATATTGCGGTTTCATACTTCCTCATTGCATTACACATATCTGTGGCACTATTGCATAAAATAAGAGTTTTCAATCTGCTTATGCCAGAGAGCTAAAGCACATGTTGCATACCAGAATCTACAGTCTAAATATACACATGACACTCAAAATTATATTTTAGTATCTAATACACATCACAAATTCTTGCTCTCTGTCACACATTCACACCATCAGGCGCACACACAGACACCTCACCAAGTGTTTTATAACATTGAAAGGTGTGTGTACTTACATTGTCATTGGGGTAGAGCACCCGGGAGATGTTCTCCGCCAGGTTTCGGTCCAGTACAGCCTGGATGTAATCTCCAACATTAACTACAATTAATAGAGAGCATTTCAAAATCATACTAAATTTAGAAGTATTTGTATATAGATTTTTTTTTATAAATCAATGATAAACCAGATGGAATACTCCCAGCATGTACAGTAACTTTTTAGCCACACTACTTTTGTTTTCACATGTTAGTGGTCAGACGGTGATACATTTTTTTTCAGGATTCTTTGACTAGAAAGTTCAAAAGAACAGCATTTATTTAAAATATAAATCTTTTTGTAAAATTATCACTTTAATGCATCCTTGCTGAATACAATTATTAATTTCTTAAAAAAAAAAAAGTCACAACTAATACATTTGTAGAGGACAATCTACACATTTGGAAAATGATAGTTAAATTTAAGGAATGACTTGAGCTGTTTTGTGTGAAAATATAACCGTTTATTATAGAATGAGACATTAAGCGTAAAGGCCCGACAATCACAAAGGACCCTCTCAAAAGCAGGCGTTTCTATGGGTAATGCTGGCCTGCTGCCAGCTGCTCTCCTGTTTCTGTGCTGCTGCAGCAGCACTGCACTGGAGAAGAATGCTATATTTAGTATTCTACACAGACAAGTTAAACTCAAGCACTCCATTCAAACCAGGACCAAGGGTTTCACTTAAATTTAGTGGTACAGCCGAAATTGTACCAAAACATAGATGTGTCATACTGGATAAGGACTCAATGTATGTATGTATGTATGTGTGTGTGTGTGTGTGTGTGTGTGTGTGTGTGTGAGAGAGAGAGCGAGAGAGAGAGAGTGTATAAACACATGTGAGCTAATCATTCTGTGGACTCACATTCTTGCAGGTTGAAATCATTAGGAGCTTTGGCAGACCACAGTCTCATAGTATTCACAGTGTTGTTTTTATAACCAGGCACAGGAGTGTCATAAGGCATCGCAAGCACCACCTGCCAAAGAAAAGACATCAATTGATTTTAATTCAGCTGAATTCAAATTTAAATTACATTTATAGAGAAAAAAAATAACACACACATGAACGGCTTTTGCTTCAGGACACAAACTTTATCCAGGTTTCTTGTCAACCCAAACCAGTGCTAAAATAGTTTATTGTACAAAAGTAAAATATCTTTTAAAAAAAATTACATATTAAACATTACCATGAACTGATGAACTTGTGCCTATTGCAGCAAGTAAAGCTTGATTGGACGCACACAACCTTTTGTCTTTCCTTTCTCTTTCATCTTTTACAAATGAATAAGTGCATTGTTTTTACCATTATAACAATCCATTCCATTGCACTACCATTCAAATGTTTGGGGTCAGTATGATTTTTTTTAATTAATACTTTTATTCAGCAAGGGTGCATTAAATTGATCAAAAGTGACAGTAAATACATTTTTCGTTATCAAATTTCATATTCATCAAAAATTCCAAAAATTGATCACAATTTTCACAAAAATATTAAGCTAAAAATATTATACTGTTTTTATAGTATTTTGATCAAATAAATGCTGCCTTGGTAAGCATAAGAGTCTTTCAAAAACATTAAAAAAATCTAACAGTAGTGTATGTGGTTGCATTTTATTATTTTAATTAGGCAAAAAAATTTTCTCCAGCCATTCTATCAGAACAGAATAATTTTAGCATCACAACCTATTATTCATTGCAATAGATCATGACTGACTGACCTGGGTATCAACCCACTTTGGTCCCTCATTTGTATGCTCCACTCGGCCATAGAAATGCACGGGCAGCATGTACTCTGGACGGGCCTTCTCCCAAGGGTTACCGTAACGCAGCCAATCGTCAGCTTCCTCTACCTAAAAAAATTAAGTTGTTCCAGAGTTAAACAGTTTTGATATTTAAAAAAAAAAAAACTTTTTCTCCTGCTAACTATAAACTTATATATTAACTTTTTTCAAATATGGTTTACCTGCCAGCCATTGGTGATCTTCTGATTGAAGATGCCAAACTCATAACGAATGCCATAACCATATGCCGCCAAACCCAGAGATGCCATGGAGTCCAGGAAACAAGCTGAGAGGGAAAGCAGACACCAAACACCCATTATGATGGGGTCATGTACTCTACTGGAAGGTGTAGGTTGTTTTTAAAGGTACCTGCAAGTCGCCCAAGACCTCCGTTTCCCAGTCCTGCATCCTCCTCAATATCCTCCAGCTCTTCCAAATCTAGTCCAAGCTGAAGATCAGCACCATCATGTAAAAACAAAAAAAAACTAATGCATCTCATTATAAATCATACATACACAACACAAATGTTCCATAATGGGCAACAATTTTTTTATTGATCATCTAAACTTCAGAAAGTATTTCAGCAACTTCGGTGTTTCCACATTCAGAAAAGGAAGGATTTAGAAAATTTTGCAAGCCTGTAGCAATTGGCCTACATCCCCAATGAGCTCTCTGTGGGTGAGCAGGGGAAAAAACAACAGCTGTTTCTTAAGATTCAGGATGTTTAAGTAATAGAGCTGCGGGCCAGTTCTGCAATTAAGTAACAAATGCTCTACTATAATATTAAGTTTGCTGCCATAGTGATGCACTTTACCTGGTAGATGGCCTCATCACAAGCATTCTGCAGCCCAAGATTTATCATGGTGTTCTGTAGAGTTCTGCCCATGTAGAACTCCAGAGACAGATAGTGGATGCGCTGCAAAAGAAAACACACAGATAAAACTGACTGCATGAGTGTTCAGATACATCTGAAGCAGATCATGTAGGCAGAAGACCATCTAAAAAGTATGACAATATAAGCTACAATGATTAGAAGATGCAAATTTATGCAAGTAATGGTCTACCAATATATTGTTGTTTATTCTAGAGTACATTTCCAAAGCAGAACAGGAGAGTAAAATACTAAGCTCTAAAAACTGATTGTCACAATTCTGCTACATTTCAGAAATATCAATAGAATCATTTGTAATGCAATCACAAATGAATAAAAACGACACATTATCCTACTTTCCCTCTTAACCAAGTCAAACTCATACTCTGGTCATGTCGCTTCCAGGTTGCTCAAATACAACATGCATAATTTAATCTCTTTGGCTTGGGATCAACTTTTCATAAGATGTCTGCACTGCGAGGAGTTTACAGCCTGCTGAGGGCCTCAAATACACACTGAACAATATTTGAATACCACATTAATAAATAAATGCTTGCTTCAATTTAACATGCTGAGATGGTGCTTAATCACGGCATACTCTAGGTTTAAATAAAGTGACAGTGTTTTACTGTTTTTGCTAAGGTCTGAACCTCAACAAGCCTAACGCTAGACAAGAATGATGTTCCTGGACATGCTTCACGTATTGGTGTGCTCAACCATATAAAGCTATCTGGTTCCATTTAGAGATATAGACTGGAGGGAAAAAAACTGGAGGATTTTTTACCGGCTCAAATGACTGCTGAAATAAAAGCACACAAATCTCTGGAAAGCAGTCAAGCTTTAATAATAAATAAATCCCAAAAGGTCTAAAGTATAGATAATTCCCACATAATGCTTTAACTCAAAATACATGGCTATATTTCATGTTTATCAACAAACAAGTAACATCAGGTTTCACAGAAACATGACTATATAGTGCAAGCCAGATTAGTGGAACCACAAAGGACCGGAAGATCAATCACTTTCAGCTTGTTGCTCTCCAAAAAAAAAAAAACATCATGACCTCCTAAATCATTGTAAAGCACCCAGGTCACAGGTGTGACCATTAATAGCCATGAGTGATTCTGCACATGGATCATGTCAATGCATTAGATAAGGCCTATTATCTTCTACTGGGTTTGACAGTATAGTGTAATCTGTACTTGCCCTAGTGAGCACAGAAGATCAAGTGGTTGCTAAATACTTTACAATTTACTAATGACGACCTGATGTGTCAAGGAATAGATCACACTTTTCACAAGCAGCACGAACTCACAGCTGACCCATGTCAATGCATGTCTGCGCAAAGAACACAAAGCTCAAGTTCGGGTCAACGAACACAGGCCTTTATTAACTCTCCATATAAAACAGTGAAATTAATGAATGACTCACAATAAAATAGTAAATGACTGTCCATGTTACATGCACCATTAATATTCACTAATGTTTACAATGCGCTATGAATAAGATTATGGTTTATGCATTTAATCTTAACTGAAGTCACTTGTATCACAATTCTGGAGCATCAAATATTTATTCATTTTTTCAAATAAGCATTTATGTCTATCATGCAGTTACGAATGTATGTAAAATAAGTAATAATTCGATATTACATGCATTTTTGTATTTCCCACTACTGCACAAACAAGCCACTTCCTGGCTTCCTGCCTTCACAGAGAAGATGAGGAAGAGATCCGTACCTTCGGGTCTTTCTCATAGTAATACTGCTGAGTGCGGATCCAGCGGCCCACCAGGTGATCCCGCACCGTGTGCGCCAGCGCGAAGTAATAATCCCGCGGGGTGGCCACATTGCGGTCCTTCACTAGGGTGAAGTGAAGATGCCTATTGAAGCTCTTTTTAATTTCGGCAACATCCCCCAGTCCGGCTATACCACGAACACTGATCTGCTTGCGCTTTTCATGGTCGGTTAGAGGTTTAGACATGTTGACAACGCGTTTAAAAGCAAAGAATGAAAGTTTGGACCCCTTGACTTGTTGCGCACAGCTTGATGCGGTGTGCAATGACTTTACAAGCACTGTCCGTCCTCCCTTTGAAACACGCCCCTATGTGTCAATTGAAGAGAAAGTGGGCGGGGCTTTACAGTGTGTCTGTTTATTGGCCAGTGACGCTTTCGCAATTGCGTCTTCATTGGCTGCGCGAGATGTCAATCATCTTTGCAACGCTAACTAGCTACAGGTTTACAGCTGAATCCCGTGCCCGGAGTTAGACCGAAATCGCTGTTTTACTGTATAAACAGCTTTGGCTAGCAAGCAACTATTATATAATAGTTTCACACTGCCTCTTTCAACTCTAGTAAAGATGACTTGTAAAGATTTACCCATTTCCTTACGTTTCATAAGAGCCGAGATTCCGTTATTATATACAGACTTTTTATTGATAGCGACAATTCCGGATTGATTTAGTTCCAGAATCTGGCCGTATATGGATCGAGCCTTCAAGCAAACATTTAAAGTGGGAGGAGTCTGATTTAGAAAGTGAATTCTGCAGGTATGTATATTTAGTAATGAATATATTTATGTATGAGTATGTATTTATGCATGAGTAGTTTACATGCAGTGGCAGCAGTGATAAGCCATGCTTGATTTCCATCTATTTTTAAACATTTAAAACAATTATTAAATTATTTTATATTCTGCTAAGTGCCCTTGAGTGTCTCGAAAGGTGGCTTTAAATAAAATATATATTTTTTATGACCTCATATTGAGTGTACAGTTAATATTTGTACATTTAAAAATTCATGAATCATTATCTTTATCTTAATGCAATGCAATTTCATGGGTTTAGAGAGGAATTGCTGTGCTTTCAGGCAAAATACATCTTTTCAATATACTCTTTTTTTTCTCAATATATACACTTTACAATGTACTCTTTTCAATATGGACAATGGCTTCCATTGCCACACTGAGATACCCATCATTTGTTTTTTATGATTCCCAGATATTGATATGTTACTTCAGGTCCACAAACGAGGAAAAGGAAAATCATATTGTAAATTCTATATGGATTAGAAAATAAATCACACTTTAAAAAAAAAAAACCTTAATCGACATCCTGTGAGTAACACTGAGTAATATATTGTAACATTTGGGCTGCCAGTGTGCAGGCTTTAGTGTTGTGACACCTGCTGGTACCAAGAAAGAACAGCAGCATGTCTGAACAGGTGAAAGAAGTGATGGGAGCAAACACAAGACAGACCACATCCTGCTGTCTCACTTCATGAACTTCTTGTGAACTATATGTGCAATTGCACTTTCTCAATACTTCACACAGAGCAACATTTTAAACATTCTCAGATTGTATTTATATGGCATTTTATATAAACATTCTGTTTTTCTTCCCTCTGAGAGCATATAATATTTAATACTAAGTACATGATTTGTTTAAACATACTGTATGTAATATATTAAATCAATATACAAGCTACGAAGTAATTCAATCTAAAATAAAAATGAAGTAACTTCTTGTTACAAGCTTGAGGCAAGCACGTGTTTTTGATCAGTTTTATATAATTAACCCTGACTAATATGATTCTGATATTCTGTAAACATCCAAACCAGTACATACATTTAACCTTCACACATAGCTTAACATACTAGTAAGAAAACAGAAACATTCAGAAAGTCAGAGGTATGTATAAAAACTCACATTTGGAATAAATTCAATGACAAAATGGCAAATACAATCAATGTTGATATTTTTCCCCAGAGCATTAAAATCAGTTAGTGCTTTACTGGGTTGTGGAGCGGTTCAAATGTTGCGAGTGTCTTATGTTTTCAGCACGTTCCATGTTTATGGAGTGACTCTATGCAATAGAAAGTGGCACCGAGGGCCCAGCTAGTCTCCACGTTATTTATTTGTCTTGCCAGCTGAAATTTAAACAGAATGATAGGGTTAAACAAAATCACAGCATCACCCCTGACATTTGTTCTTCAAAATATTACAGATAAATCACATACTGCTGTAGTTAACTGTCTGGGTCCAAAGGTCTCCACACACAAACTATTTCACAGTCCTATTAAGTCAGGAATCATAAATCAAAAGTAGCACACCTTCAGCTCTTTGTCAGGCGGGAAGTCAAGCTCCTGAAGAAGTACTGAGATGTAAGTCAGATCCAAACACAGGAACGGAGACTCCTTTATCCCTCCGGCTGACATGTTATTGCACACTGGAGCAGAAGAGAGTTAATAAAAAAATTTTAAGCAAAAGTAAACGGAGTGGATTATTTTTGAAATGTACATTTACATTACATTTATGCATTTGGCAGATGTTTTTTCCAAAGTGACTGCATTCAAGGTACACATTTACATTTGCGCAGCTCTGACGAATAATCTAACATTATAATAATAATGGCACCATGACATTTCTCCCACAGTAAGTTTTATACATTTATTTATTTAGAAAGAAATCTTTTATGCCCTCCAACGCTGTATTTATTTAATCAAATATATAGTGAAAACAGTAATATTGTCAAATATTATTAGAATTTAAAATATCTGTTTTCTATTTTAAAGGGGTCCTATTATGCTCCTTTACAAAGTCTTGATTTTGTTTTGGGGGTGTACTAGAACAAGCTCTCATACTAGGTTGTTCAAAAATACATTATTTTTCACATATTTTACATTATTACAACACCTCCCTCCCCAGTCTGGCATGAACGGCTCGAATAGTTCCTGTATCAAATGAAGGCCCGCCTTCTGAAATATGAAATGTGCTGTGATTGGTTAGCTGGGCCAGTGTGAGTTGTGATTGGTTAGCTGGGCCAGTGTGAGTTGTGATTGGTTAGCTGGGCCAGTGTGAGTTGTGATTGGTTAGCTGGGCCAGTGTGAGTTGTGATTGGTTAGCTGGGCCAGTGTGTGTTGTGATTGGCAGCACTCAGCGCCTGGTCGGGAAATGTAATGACCTTTACCATAGCCGCCTGCTGCGAGCTTCAGTGTAAATATTGCGTCAAAATCAAATCAATTTGAGTGCGATTTAAACCCGAATGATTGTAACCACTCTTCGACATGGTGATAACACTCGCTGCCTTCTCTAGTGCAGCTCAACCAGGTCTCGTCCCATTCGTCGGTATTTGTGATATCACTAATCCCGGAAAATATGCGTTGTAGTCCAAACGAGTCGTTCGTTGTCGTTTTTGAAAAGTGATTTCTGTTAAATAAAATATCTCCTTTTGAAGTGGAGACTTTGAGCTTTGTAACTTTGCAGATCTTTTTTATGCTCAAACAGCAACATTACAGACTAACTAAAGTTGAAAAAGTGAAAAAGCTTATTAGGACCCCTTTAATATTTTACATGCCACATGATCCTTCAGAAATTTGGTGCTCATTTATTTATTTAACGTCATGTCAGCAGCAAGGCTATTTTCATGGCGAAAACGGAATAAATAGCAATAGTCATACAATTAACTAGAAGCTATATAAGATATTTAAGGTTAATACTAGAAAAAAAAATCTAAAATACATTAAAGTGATACTTTATTTAAATACATCAGCTAATCACATCTCTTTATAAAATTGTTGCCCATTTACATTAAAAACAGTACAGTGCAATAAAAATGTTTAACAATCATTGTAGTTTGACAAGGAAGGCATAATAATGGTGGTTCACCTTTTAATATATTCCTGTGTGTAAGTGTTGAATGCTCTAAATGGCACCTATTAAAAACAACCTGATCATACCTAGATTTGAAATTAATTAAAAAACTAATGAACTAATTAAGAACATTCTTATACTAGGATTTATTTAATGTAACTTATTTCCATGACATTCATTCCATTCCGATTTGGTGCTCAAGAAACATTTATTATCATTAATAATCTTGAAAACATTTGTGCTTATTAATATTTTTGCGGAAAGCGTGATCATTTTTTTCAGGATTCCTTGATGAATGGAAAGTTCTGAAGAACAGCATTTATTTGAAATATAAATCTTTTGTAACAATGTAAAGGTTTTTATTGACAGTCTTGATCAATTTATGCATCTTTTCTAAATTAAAGATTTCTTTCAAAAAAAATTTGCTGACATTTGTCAGATACTGACACAATAAAATCAGACAAATACAACTACATTCAATTACAAAAACACATTTACCTTTCTTGGCACCTTCAATGTAATCACTGACTCTGACAGTCCCCCCTGTGCTTTCATCTGAGTCAGAGACACAGAAAGTGTTTGTAATTTAGTAAAATTAAAAAAAAAAATTTTTTTTTAAAGTCTCCTCATTATTTGTTTCACTTAAATCTGAAAAACATGAAATCAAATGATAGCAATCAAACTAATCTCATACCAATGAGGCCCAGATCCACAGCCCTGTCGTAGTAGTAGGAGAATGCGTAGAAGTCCATGTCTTTCACTCCCTCGATTTTTCTCACACGTTTGTAGATCATCTTTTCCACTTTTGTAAGGCAAGTCTCATAGATGGGCTCCCCTAAAAGAGAGCAAACATACAAGTGATGCGGTTTACTTTAAGCTGGATGATTGACACAAAATGTATTGTAATTAACATAAATAAAATAAAATAAAGTTACAAGTTACATTATTATTATTATTATATAATTATGATTATTGTAAATATTATGTACCTTAGAAAGCACCACTAAATATATATATTACTTTATACTTTTTTAAATAAAATATCATATTATAATGATAAAATTCTGGGGAGTAAAACTGAATGTACATAAAAATGAACATACATAAACCTAACCCAGGCAAACAGCGTTTTTCATACCTGCTTTCTGCCCTTTAAGAGTGTAGAGTACTTCAGCATGCTCCCACTGTCCAGAGTAATCTGGGGCGAGACATGGACTAACCAGCTCTTGGGGTCCTGCTACTGAAAATAAACACACACACACACACACACACACACACACACACACAGAGCAACCAGATGATTTATTTATGCATTTCACAAACATTTTTACTGCCACTATGTGGGGTAACTGTGACACTACTGAGGACAAATCCAAACACGAGCTCTATAGTGCCACCTGGTGGTCAAACATAAAAACACGTTTACACAAACACATGAATGTCTTCGCTCATAATAACCTTAGAGCCCACTCAGAGAGAAACGGGATACACTTACACAATGGACAAAACTATAAACAAAGAAATCTGATTACATCTGTAGTGTACTAAATGTAAATCTGAGTAGTAAACAGGTGGAAGCTATTGCACTGATGGCAGTTTTTCTCGCTGGCCTCAGCTAAATCAGTGCAACAGCTGGCCACCAAGGAATTAATCTTCAGTGCGCTATTAAGAGATTAGATAATGGCTTATTTATTGAGCGAATGAGGTCTTTAAAAGCCAAAGATGAAGAGAGATTGCAGACCACATACAAGGCTGTCCTTCAAACCCTCCCAACACAGCAAGTCTGGTTGACATCAACCCCAGGCCAAGGTAACTACAGAGAAAGAGAAGAGACATTAATGGTATGGACATACAAAACAAAACAAATATTATTACTATTATTTATTTTTATTTTATTAAATGTTTAATAGAGTAAATGTCAATGAGTACAGACTTTGCTTGGTTGGTCCCTGCTGGAGGGTTTGTTGTGTCAAATCTCCCTCCATGAATAACTAGTAATTCTAGTAATCTGGAGATGAGTCCTGCGATGGGAATGTAATTGGAGGCTTGTGTGATTATGCTCTAATCAGGAGAGCGAGGCGGGTCGAAGCGAACACACACTGCCTCATAAACACTTGTGCTTCCCGCACTAAACACTGAGCTCACATAACCTAGAAAGCCCTGGACGCCCCTGACCAAGCACAGGAACCAACAGGTGGGGATGTCAAACATGGGCCAGAGGTTTGACCCTACTTCTAGAGCAGGGGTGGGCAAACTTGGCCCTTCCAGGTCACTTTCCTTCAGAGTTTAGCTCCAACTCTAATCAAACACACCTGAACCAGCTAATCGTCTTCAAGACTACTAGAAAGCTACAGGCAGGTGAGTTTTATCAGGGTTGGACCAAATCTCTGCAGGAAAGTGGCCTGGAAGGGCCAAGTTTGCCCATCACTGTTCTAGAGGATTGCAAGTCACGTACCGTCACTGTACAGAAAAAGCCACAGAGAAAGCTGAAGTTTTTAAACAGATGGAGTAATATGGTGATACTGTATTTCTGAGTGTTGAGGATTATTAAATGGGACGTAATGAAGTCTAGCCTGATGGCTGCATGATATTGTACTATATCAGTTATTGGCCGATAGGTATCCTCATGCCGTGAATGCTTTAGGACGTATTTTTGTTTGTTTTTTGCAAAGTGAGTGACATTCTTAATAATGTAAGCTTGCACATTCTTAAAACAATATCGCACACCAGAAGTCTCAGTATCAAATCAGTATTCAGAAATTCAACCGTTTAATAATGCTTTAAATAATTTAATAATTTATTCATTACATGATTTGCCACACATTCTGATGCCAACCTAGGCCCAGCCCACTTTACCTGTGTGAGTAGAGAGCGTGACTGATGTTGAACATCTGAAACGATGTCACATAATCAATGGGTAAGGTCTGGATGGTTTTCTGCACAGGAACAAAACACAAACAATCAAATATTAATGCATTACAGGTTGCTTTCTTCTCTTCTTAAGTAGAAATTTGGTAGAATGACAAATATTACTATTCTAGTACTAATCTCATCACCGCCTGCTTCAGCATGTTTCTTGTCCAGACTATATATTTAACACAATATCTGTCAGCAACTATAACTATGCTACAATCGGCAGAGCAGTTCTCATCTGAGCTCATGTTTGGAACTAAAGCTCTCGGAGAAACTGTGTAATGACATGATAAATTGGTCCTCAATCCCCTGTACAAGACCTGACCTAGTTCAAGAGCAAGAATCACTAACTCTCCCAGCTCAACGTACAACAACCTTTATTTACTAGGCCTATCGGATTAGCAGGACATTTGCGGATTAATGCATAGGACGGGAGACCATCACGGTAGTTTGTTAGGAGTGACATGGCTTCATTAGTGAGGGGTTACAGCTACAGTGGGGAAAAAAAGTATTTAGTCAGCCACCAATTGTGCAAGTTCTCCCACTTAAAAAGATGAGAGAGGCCTGTAATTTTCATCATAGGTATACCTCAACTATGAGAGACAAAATGAGAAAAAAAAAATCCAGAAAATCACATTGTAGGATTTTTAAAGAATTTATTTGCAAATTATGGTGGAAAATAAGTATTTGGTCAATAACAAAATTTCATCTCAATACTTTGTTATATACCCTTTGTTGGCAATGACAGAGGTCAAACGTTTTCTGTAAGTCTTCACAAGGTTTTCACACACGGTTGCTGGTATTTTGGCCCATTCCTCCATGCAGATCTCCTCTAGAGCAGTAATGTTTTGGGGCAGTCGCTGGGCAACACGGATTTTCAACTCCCTCCAAAGATTTTCTATGGGGTTGAGATCTGGAGACTGGATAGGCCACTCCAGGACCTTGAAATGCTTCTTACGAAGCCACTCCTTCGTTGCCCGGGCGGTGTGTTTGGGATCATTGTCATGCTGAAAGACCCAGCCACATTTCATCTTCAATGCCCTTGCTGATGGAAGGAGGTTTTCACTCAAAATCTCACGATACATGGCCCCATTCATTCTTTCGTTTACACGGATCAGTCGTCCTGGTCCCTTTGCAGAAAAACAGCCCCAAAGCATGATGTTTCCACCCCCATGCTTCACAGTAGGTATGGTAGTCTTTGGATGCAACTCAGCATTCTTTCTCCTCAAGATGAGTTTAGATTATCAGTGGTCTTGTATGTCTTCCATTTTCTAATAATTGCTCCCACAGTTGATTTCTTCACACCAAGCTGCTTACCTATTGCAGATTCAGTCTTCCCAGCCTGGTGCAGGTCTACAATTTTGTTTCTGGTGTCCTTTGACAGCTCTTTGGTCTTGGCCATGGTGGAGTTTGGAGTGTGACCGTTTGAGGTTGTGGACAGATGTCTTTTATACTGATAAGGAGTTCAAACAGATGCCATTAAAACAGGTAACGAGTGGAGGACAGAGGAGCCTCTTAAAGAAGAAGTTACAGGTCTGTGAGGGCCAGAAATCTTGCTTGTTTGTAGGTGACCAAATACTTATTTTACCAAGGAATTTACCAATTAATTCTTTAAAAATCCTACAATGTGATTTTCTGGATTTTTTTTCTCATTTTGTCTCTCATAGTTCAGGTATACCTATGATGAAAATTACAGGCCTCTCGCATCTTTTTAAGTGGGAGAACTTGCACAATTGGTGGCTGACTAAATACTTTTTTGCCCCACTGTATATGTGCATATTTATGCATGCACATGACTCACTTCATCCTGTAGAGCAAGTGTGATCTGGGTCGAGCCCCCTCCTAAATCCAGCATGCCTACTGTAGGAGTCTCAGAACCATGAAGACCACCTGTAAGAGAGAGAGACTTTAAATAATTATATTAAGATCAAACCAAACATTTTCAAGTAAAAGTAAAGAAGAAAACAAACAAAAAAATTGCATGAGGGCAGGGTAATTAATTTGTATCCAAATTAATCTATCATTGTTCTGTCACTTATGTCATGAAAAATGTGACTACTAAAATTTTCTTACCTAATAAAAAGTTGATGGTAATCCAAGCCGACATGCCTGTGTAAATACAAATGTGCATTAATTGTTAGTACAAGAATTCTGCATACAGGGTATATGCAGGATTTTTAAAATCAAATTTAAGACTTTTTAAGACCTGTACCAATCAAATTAATATCATATGAGCGGGGTAGGGCAATGTTTATGCTAACATATTAAACTGTAAAATTACTATAAAAGTATGACTTAAAATTCAGATACTGGTTTTCATGAAAACAAAAAGCTTTATAAAATGATAAACTTCACATTTCAGCCTTTAAACAATTTTTAAGAAAAGGGGTGAGTCAAAATGATCAATTCTTATATTAATTTAAACAATTATCAATCAATTATTACACTAATTAAATAACACATAAATATATAGCTTAGGGCCTTAATTGTTTCGATTTGATGATCCATCGGTTCACATTTACAAATCTGCGTGTTTGCAGTGTAAAGACATGGGCTGATTAATTTTCACATTGGTCTGAGCAAAAACAGTAGATGGGCTTATTAAAAATGTAAATTCATTCTCTGCCAGCAGGAGGCTGGAGTGGCAGAATGTAGCGGATTCCCCGGTAATGACTGAACACAAAGCAGCGCAGCAGCTGACTTTGAAACGTGCAGCAATCATATTTATTCAATGAAATTATAGCCTTTTGAAGTTTAATCGTCACATTTAAGCAATATTGCAATTCTTGTCTTTCCGTCCCCAAATTTAAGACCTCTTGAAATCATAATTATGACTTTCTTGTATCATAATACTTTTTATGGCCTTAAATTTGATACAACTAAATTTAAGATTTTTATAGACCTGCGGAAGCCCTGTGCATACCACAATTGACACATGTATAAATAAAGGTCATTGAGGAGTCAAATTTTCCTTTTTAGATAAAAGAGTCCAATGTACTATAAAAAAAATTATATTTTCACATCACAAAACTTCATCCCAGCCCAAAAAGGACATCTACTGAAGCTAAGCTGCAAAAAACATCTCATTCTGAACTTGTGAAATGTTTTCATGTCAGGCAGATGAATATAGTTTGTTCAAACTTTACTGCCCACATTTACATATTTATGTGTACAAAATGTCCCAACCTCTGAAACTAGCAGCTGACATTTTTTATTTAACAAGATTTTTCAACATTTCAATCTGACGCAAGAGTTTGTGTGGCACATTTCAGAACACATTGTTTTCTGAATCTTTAAGACTATAATGCAGGCTTTGCAAAAAGGTTGTCATTTAAGGATGGGGAAGTTAAAGACCTTATAGCAAAGCACTCATTTTATATGTGAAAAGACAATTTACATAAACGTCTTAAAGGCACAGTAGCTTAAAAACAGACTTTAATTTTAAGGGCCATGAACTAAATTATGACCAACATTATCAGTGTACCCTCAGGTATTTAAAAAATCATCAAATGAGAACTTTAAAGTATAACAAATCTAAGCCATAATACCATTCCAAAGTTTGGGGTCGGTAAGATTTTTTAAAGGGGTCATATGATGCAATTTCAAGTTTTCCTTTCTCTTTGGAGTGTTACAAGCTGATTGTGCATAGATAAGATCCCTGAAGTTGCAAAGACTAAAGTCTCAAAACCAAAGAGATATTCTTTATCAAAGTTAAGACTCTGCCACGCCCCCCTAAAACGGCTCGTTCTAACACGCCCCCACATATCTACCTCACTATGTGGAAATATTTGCATAATGCAGCCCAAATGTTCACGCAAAGAAAGAAGGCGTGGTTTCAGTAACTGCAGTTAGTGTTGAAGCAGCCATGTCAGAGAGACACTGTGTTTCAGTGCGAAAGCAAAAGCACTTTATTTGGCCTTCCGAAAGTAGATGCATTTAGGAATCTTTAAGATTACTTACAACAGAACAGCAATGCATTTTATGGACGACCGTTTCGTGAACCTAGGAGAGGAGGTAATTCTGACTTTGTTATGACAATCTGGTGCTTCTGAATCAGCTACTGTTTTGTTATTAGTTTAAGTATTTGCTATTGACTGTTCAAATGCGGAGTTTTGCACATCGTGTGCGTGTGTGAGAGAGAGAGCGAGAGATAGCGAGAGAGAGAGAGAGAGAGAGATCACAGGGGAGTCAGCTGTCTTAACCGTGGCTTGTCTTTACATTTATTTTGAAAGATGAAGCTCGTGATTATGGTAAGGGGCGTTACATTTCCGACGAGTGCTTGCGGTGTTCGGCCAATCACAATTCACTGGGTCAGCTGGCCAATCAGAGCAGACTGTGCTTGTCGGAAGGAGGGACTTTGTAGAAAACGAAGCGTTTGAGAGAGGCGGGGCATAGAGGACCTACAATAATGTACAGTATTTAAAAAATAATGTGTTTTTTGAACATTAAAGCATGTCAACATATTCTGTTACACCAAATACACAAAATAATGATCTTTAAAAAAGCATCATATGACCCCTTTAATGTTTTTGCAACAAGGCTGCAATTCATTTGATCAAAAACACTGTAAAATTGCTGTGAGGGCAAAGCTGAATTTTTAGAAGCCATTTTAATCCAGTCTTCAGTTGTCACATGTTCCTTCAGAAATCATTCTTATATGCTGATTTGCTGCTAAAGGACATTTTTTTATTATTATCAATGCTGAAAACAATTGCGCTGCCTATTATTTAAGTGGAAACCATGATACATATTTTTTTCAAAATTCTTTGATGAACAAAAGCATCTATTTCAAATAGAAACCTTTATTAACATTATAAATGTCTTTGCTGTCACCTTTGATTAGTGTAATGAATTCTCGCTGAATAAAAGTATTATTAATTTTTTTTTTTAATTATCTGACCAAAACGTTTGAACAGGAGTGTACAACATATGCTGGTGAATTTAGAGAGTTTAGCATTAACAAAGTCAAGGTCCGGCCGGATCACAAAGACTCTCCGAGTGAGTGCATCATTGGATCTCTATGCTAAAACTCTTATAAACTGTATGTTTGTTTTGAATGTAGGTTACTTCTTAAAGTATGGGGCTTTAGCCCTCAGAAATAACCAAACTCACTTAGTGTCTATAAACTCCCATCCCTGCTATCTCCCTCACATATCCCACTATGATTTGCTATGATGGACTAATCTGGTTGGGTAAACTTGTGTGTCCAGGAGAGTTTAGATTCACACTGATAATGAGACTCAGATTATCCGGTTATGGGACCTGCAGTTTAAGCATTCATTTTACAACAAAATCTCAAATACAAATTGCTGCCCATTAAGCCCAAAAACAACTTGTATATCAACAAAAAAGTACTATCAACTTGGCTTTTGCTAAACACTAGTTTTTGTATCTTTAAAAAGGAATTTACTGCATAGCAAATTAACGGGTGCTAATCTGTTTGCGGAGATTATAGTGCACACGGGACATTATCCCCTGGGCTCATTATTACTTGTGTGAACTATTTTAAAGGATTGGATTACAGTCCCATATACGCATTATCTATCATTAGAATACACACAGCTCAAGCTATTACTAGGCATGTAATGGTATAAAAATTTCTTATCACGATTATAGTGACCAAAATTATCACGGTTATCAGTATTATCACGGTATTGTTCAAATGTGCTGGCGATGTTAAAAAAGTACACATAAATCACATTTTAAGTTTTATACTTAAAAATCAACAAACAACAAATAAAATTACTTTTTGTTTGCATAATCACTAAAACAATAACATTATCAATGATGTTCGGATTTTAAATGACAACTTGACTGACAACAGTTTAAAAGCATGTTGAAATATCTAATGTAAATGTTCAAATAAAGCTTTGAAAAAGTTTCATTAAAAGGTAAACCTCACATTTCAGCCTTTAAAGGTGACATATCATGAAAATCTGACTTTTCCAGGTTTTAAGTGCTATAATCAGGTCTCTGGGTGCATCTACTAACCAAGGAAACGTGAAAAATATTAACCCAGTAACTTTGTTTTGGGAAGCCTTTTTCTGCAAGCGTCTGAGAAAACGAGTGCATCTGATTTCGCTCCCTGACTTAGTTTAGTACTCACATGCTGTGACAGCAGCTTTCTGTCCATGTGCTTCGGATGTGTGCGCTCAGAAAACCTTATGTCTGAAGTTTAAACTCATATGGTTTAAAACGCATGATTTCAGCTGATAAACATGATAATCAGAACCAAAACAGATGTTTTTAGCAGATACGAGCTGTAATGGCGCAGCTCTATTCTGGAAAAGGGGACGGGGAGCGCCAGCAGCTCATTTGCATTTAAAGAGACAGGCCCGAAAAACAGCTTGTTTCTGCTTCCACTCAAAATAGGCATTTTCAAAATGATATAATAAATGATCTGTGGAGTATTTTTAGCTGAAACTTCACAGACACATTCTGGGGAAATCGTTACACCCCTAGCTATTACTGAAGAAAATTTCAATTTACAACTTATATCTTTCTGCCAGAAGTGCAAACACAGTGACCAGAGGCTTTTGACGAGCTATAGATATACAGTAACATCTGCTGGTTTCACATTCATGGTGGACAGATTTCTGCATGGATTATAGGACAGCAAATCACTGCAACATTACAATCATGGAAATGAGAAGCACTGTCATCTGTTTGAACATTCAGGATGTGCTTCCTCAGGTTTCCGAATATAAACCCTAAAAAGTTACAATGCTACTCTAGCTAGCCCATACTACAAAGTCATAAATTATAAATATGAGATCTTTTTTTTTTTTTAAGGATTTTATCATCTTTAATAACAATGGTATTTTGGTGGGAAACATATTTACCACTCCACAGTACTATTTTAGTATTATTCATATTAAAGTATTTAAAAACATTTTGAATGAGCTTTTATTTTCATTTTAAGTTTAGTTTAAGTTTTAGTAATTTTTTTACGTACTTTTGTCCTTTTTATATATATATTTTTATATTTAAATTTAGCTTTAAATGTATTTATTTTTATTATTATGAGATTTTGTAATTTTAGTAGTTATATTTCAGTTAGTTGCCATTACAACATTTATAATACATTGTCATCTGTTTGAACTTTCAGGATGTGCTTCCTCAGGTTTCCGAATATTAAAACAATAACTTTAAAATGTGCTGCCACTCAAAGCTTATTTTGTTTGTTAGCTGAGACCGTAAAGTAAATTTTTTTTACTTCTTGGCCAATATATTAATGTTACAAACATATATTATTAAGGTTGTTTAGTCTTGATTTTCAAGCTGGACTTAAAATGAAAGTGCTAATATTCTATTATTATTCTGAAAAATATTTAATTTTATTAGAATAATTATTCATATAATCTGACTGTCAAAATAAGTAATCAAAGAGCGGTGTTGTTAAATGCATTACATGCTAAAAAGTGACAAGTGGAATAGATTACTCCTTTCAGAATTCAATCAGAGCAGATATGGCAGCCAGTGCTTAAAAGTTGCAATCTATTACAATTTATAAGTTATAATCTATTACAATTTGAAAATAAATACACTTTTTATTACGAACCTGACATTATTAACATATGGGAAAGGAGCAACTGACACAGTACCTTCATCTGTGCCATCCATGATTGACACACTGTCTGGTCTATACAGGAACAAGGATTCGCTAAACACCTCCCTCACCTACGGCAAAGAGACTTTAGATTTAACACTGCATGACATTACAGATACTGAAACCTGCACCATAATTAGGAAATACTAAGTCGACAGGCTGAACATGAAATGCCTGAAGACATAGCTCTCATCTCTATAACTTTAACACAACATAACTTTAACAGATTTTACTCCACCCTTTACAGTTTACTGTTGCTTTGGAACTTTGCATCACAGCATTTCTAACATTACCGTGTCATTTAACACCTCCCAAATTGGGTTGTACTATTAAAACCTCTGACAGATTAATAAATGTGAATGCATTTCAGACGCCTTAAAACCTTAGTAATCGTATGCATTTAGTTAACTGAAAGCACTATCCATATGTAACTGTTAGAGGGTTTATAGTGAATGTTTGCTTGGCGACTAATGGTTCTCTGACCTTGTCCAGCAGAATTGTGGCCTTCTCACCAGGCAGCAGTCTGAGCCCTGCCGTGGCTCTGAGCATGAGAGGGGAAGAACTCCATAATCTGTCAGGAACAGTGTCTTTAGCAACTTTTAACAGTTCCAAAAGTCCCTCCTTACTCTGTAAAACAACATTAATATAATCATTAAACTGCAGACAGAAAAGATACTATCACAAACCTGAGGCATCTGTGATGGGTTCACAATTATAAAACTTAATCACATTTTACTGGTTACCTTTTCTGGGTCATCAGCATATGCAGACAGTCCAGGTTGTATAGCTCTAAAAGTCTCATGGGCTAATTTAGGAGCTTCTGTTAATACATAAAGACAAGCAGAAAAGTCTTCTTTTTAAAAACATCTTTTAAAAACAAAGTTTTGAAAGGTAGTGTATATAACAGTAACATTAATTGCAGTAGTCGGGACTCCTCATGGCTTATACCAAAGTTTACATAATAAACAATATAAACAAATGTTTCAGCCCCTGATAAAATCCAACCATACTCGCCAGTGTGACCTTTGACCCATGATGCTTAGCTATGATGTGTACATGCATGTGTGTGCCTAATGGCATAGACTACTTGCTGTCTATTATAACATGACAATTATAATATGACAATCATAGGTTTAACAATAAAGGCTAAAGCAGCACTTAACTGATTTAGCTCAGAATTGGGATTCGAATCGATAGCTAAGCTATTAGACGATCAGTGCTGCACTAGGCAGTAAACCTAAAATCTGTGCATAACGCCCACATGGTCAACATATCCATGGCTTTACTATAGTAACACTATGGTATTTGGCAGTAAGGTAACTTAATAAATAATTAGGTGAGTAAGCATTATGGTATTTCAATGACAGCCACAACTGTCAAAATATGTTTTGGCTACTAGTTTTCAAAAACCACAGTTTGTTTTTTTATAAATAGTTAAATTGATCTAACCAGCCAGTACAAAAAATGACCACAGTATTTCCTCCAAAATATTTATATATTGAAACTACTATAAAAACATCATAAATTATTATAGAGAGATTTTTTTTCAATGAATTTTACCATTTACCAATGACTTCGTGTATTTTGGTGGGAAATATTACCATAGTAATTTACCATAGTGCTATTTTATTATTGTTTATAAACTATTATAGTAATTTTTTGTGCTTTTGTCCTTTTTTATTTTTTTTTAATATTTCAATTTAGCTTTTTATTTTTATTTATTTTATATATATTTTTTGTAATTTAAATTTTTCATCTAACATTTACATTTTAATTTATTTCAGCTTGTATCAATTAACAAAAACAACTTTTAAGTTTTATTTAATAATAATAACACTGCATGCTAGTTTGTTGTATATAGTGTACATATTTGAAGTTACCAGACTACAATTACAGAAGAAAATTCTGAAGTCATTGTTATGAACAAACTTTTGTTATGTTGAACAGGCTGAAAATGCGGTCTTATATGCAGTGTTTCTTTAAGTGGACTGAAATGGACAAGTGGACTCAAATACCTTTTAAATTTTAACATACCATTTGGCTCGATCTGAAATTTGAAAATGTGAATCCGGGTTCCAGTGCTCCCAGCATCAAGCATAATACCATACTGGAAATTTTCACTGACCACCTGAGCTGAGGTCGACTGTTTATGGGTATCCATCTTATGCTGGGGCAGCTGGTCAGATACTGGTGGTTTGGAGTCATCATAATGACGTTTGACGTAGGTGAGGTAGACCACCAGGCAGCCCACAAACATAAAGATGAAAGCTAGCTTTGGGAACCTCATAATGGCAGCCAGAGGTACATGATGTGGAGTCAATTTCCCAATGCAGCAGGCTTCTCGGCCTTCTCCACTACCTCCAGAACAAGAAAAACATTACAAATAGGCATTTTAATTTGCTATAAAACCACAAATCTGAAATATCACCCACCCAAGTGAAAACAATGTTGTTTGACTTACAGCTAACAAAGATTTACATGTTTAACAAATCCAAAACATATTTACATACCTGTTCTCATATAATCTTAAATATGAGAAAAGAAATATATATATATACATACATACACACACACACACACACACACACACACACACACACTGTTGGGGAAAGTTACTTTTAAAAGTAATGCATGATAATATTGCGTTACTCCATAAAAAAGTAACTAATTACATTACTTAGTTACTTTTTATGGAGAGTAATGCGTTATGTTACTTTTTAAATCTGGACAGGGCTTGCTTGTTTGTTTTTAAAATAAAAAAAGTTCTGTTTTTGGCAAATATAAAAGCCTTTTCACACCAAAAGTGAAATGAATAAGCCTCAGGCTGAAGGGAAAGTAAATTTACGTCCGTACAGTAGAACGCAGAAAAATACATTTCAACACACTTCAGCAATAATAAAGACACAAATGTTTGTCTAGAGTAATTTTTGCTTGTTAGTATGGTTGAACTGGATCATCGAAGGTCAGAAGCAAAGACACTGGTTAGTAGAATGTGATTAAATACATAAAGGATATTTGTGTTGTTTAACATTTAATTATTGCAGGTTTGCGTCATATTCTGAGTTGCATTATTTTTATTCATTTTGAGGAAAACTGAATCTGTGTTTTTTTTTGTGTGAGTGAGATGAATTAATGCATATTCATATTTATTTTAGAACTACAGTAACATCCAATTTCTCTCAACATGGGGACAGGAGAGCTGTCAATCAATAAATTGGGAAAAAAAGTAACTTGTGTTACTTATTTGAAAAAGTAACTCAGATATTCTCTTGTACATTAAAAAGTAATGCGTTACTTTACTAGTTACTTGAAAAAAGTCATCTGATTACGTAACTCGCGTTACTTGTAATGCGTTACCCCCAACACTGTATATATATATATATATATATATATATATATCACAAATACACTTATATTTTCCACCACAACAATGGTATGTCAACTTCATCACACAAATTGTAAATAACTGTTAGGGATTTGTAAATAATTTCCCTAATTTTAAGCAGTTCCAACTAGAACACCTGAAAAACAGCTGCTGCATTTTATGTAACGTTATGCGTTACATGAAAAATACGGTTATTTTGTCAACACTAATTTTCTGACTTTGATGACAGTTCAATATATAGATATGTATGTAAGCTATTCATTTAAGTGAATTCTCGATTTGCCAATATTTATAATCAATATTTGACGCATTATTTTTGTATCTGTCTGTCTGCGTCGTATTGGGCGACAAGCGCACACACTAACGTTAAGTGAGAAAATACAAACTAGAGACGCACCAAAACAGGTATGGTGAGCATATTAATCCAAAATAATTACTTTATACTTTACTTTTACTTCATTTAAATGAACTTAAGCCTCGTTTCTCAAGAATAGTGTGAGATTGGATATCAATCTCAGTATTATGAGTCAATGTAGTTATATATTTAAGACGGTTATACCTAGCTCTCTGTGGCAAGATCATACTCCTTCGAATGCAAGTCGTGTTTTCGGTGTCGATGAATACCCATGATGAGATTTTGCCATGATATTCCCTTTGAAAGATTGTCAAAAGTCGTTCTTGTCTCGTTTTGATTACGTCAGTAACGTCCAGCGTGAAGGTGACGTGGAGCGAATACGCACGTCACACGTTCCAATCATTACTACATTCGGAGGCTCAGTTTCAGGACCCTATTTACTATATACTACTCGTTCCAATAGGTGTGTTCGACTTGAAGTGGCGCTACGCAGACTGGTGGGAGTTTGACATCAAAAAGTACCGCGAGGAGTATGGCGAGCAGACGGCTCCGTAAGCTTTCGAATCGCTCTCGCGGTAATGATACAGAGGCGCGCCCGCACACACCCAGCAGTGTAACTGGCAGCAATGTTGTAATGAACGACAATGCTTATAAAAAGACTAGGCTACAAATTACTCATATAATTTTTGTGAAGTTCAGATATTTTCGTTAGACAAATTCAGAATTATAGTTGATAATAAATCGACTTAAATACCTTTGTTATCTTCCTGTTTTATATATTCATGAAGACACGTTTAAAACTAACACTAGTATAGTTCGTTTTAATTATTTAGATTTTCAGTTTAGATTGTAAGAAAATAATTGGTTCACTGATGCTTTTCCCCCCAAAAAGTCCTTTCGTTTTGGATGAGAAAAGTAGCCTAATTCTCTCAAATTATATCCCAAGGAAAGCAATTGGCTCTGAATTGCAGTATCTAAAAATTTTCCACTCACATATAATGGTTTTGCTTATAATTTGAATTTTATTTGAGCAGATTTGAGCCACATTTAATTGCATTAGAAAACAAAATATCAAACCAATCTTCCATATATGAAATATTTAGCTTGAAATGTGCTTGTCATAAGACCGACAGGTCCTGCACAAATTCTTTAAAGTTACCTTTGCCATTTTCAAGCCCCATTTCCACTGTTTAATGCTTTCCTCTTAACCTCCTGAGACCCAGAGAGCCAATTACACTTTTATTGTGCTGTTTTCAATATGGCACCAGCTGGTCTCTCCACCAAGGCCCTGTGAGTTCTGTTAAAGTTTACCAGGCTGTGGCAGCTACATGACCTGTTGCACTTCTCCATTCTTGACTTTAATTAACCATTATTAGGCCTGCTGTATGGGCCAATCTGTGGTTCCCTCCTACACTTTCTCATGCAACATGTGATGCCCCCATCTGAGCGTGAATTTCAGCCAATGAGTGACCCATAATGAGAGGGATGGTGATGGTTTTGATGATATTCATTTGATGCTTCCCATTGAGTGTGTCTGTGAGCACAGTGCAAGCTTGAAAGGACCATATGCTCTCATTTTACATGCATGTGTGTGAGCGCATCTATCTAGGACACAAGGTCTAACGGGGTGAGGGGCAACAGCCCGCTTAATATTAGACCATTCTCACTTATCAAAATCAGTGTGGGCGGACAGCTTTGAGGGGGACGGGGACGATGGCCATCCCTCCAAACTGTTGCACTCTGACCGCCCCCCTCAAAGAGCAATGCATACATGACTTCCCCTATTATATCTTAAGCATTCATTACAGACGTACCTCGACAGTTGCAGCAGAAAGCACAACGCCTCCTCCTTGTCCCCCACAGCCCTGAATAAGTGACTTGATCTCTGTCTTTTTACTCACCAATAATGGGCTGAGTGTCAGTTTGCATACTGCATGGGAATTGTAAAGAATGGAGAGCGAGAAACATCGGTGCATGTATTGCTGATAAAAGGTGTTTTCACAAAACTTCTGCTGTTCATTTTCTTCGTTTAGATGAAGAGACAATGTACGTTCTCCACCACAAGTCTTTCTGGGTCATTTATCTTCCAATGTGTATGTTTCAACATTACAAGTTTTCTTCAGTAACTACTTTTCCACTCACACTCTAAAACTCCTCAATATAGCATCAGCGTTTTAATATGTAATTTAACACACTGTATAAACTGTTTTTTTCAGTGTAAGTTATAAGATGACTTGTTTGTTTTCACTTCCATAAATTGTACATTTAACAGTATTTTACTGTAAAATTACAAAAAAAAATCTAAATCTATTACAGTTTTACCATAAGGGAATTTACCATTGACCAATGAATAGGATTTTACTAAATTTTTATAATCTTTTACAATTAAAATTACATTGTTTTTTTACAGTGCATGTAAACTCTTAATAGCTTTTAGCAATTTAATGCTTAATGGTCCCTTAATCTCTCTCACACATTTTTAACAATGATGATTAAACCGTTAGTGATGTGGTCTGTATAACCATTCAAAGCAAATTCGTATCAATTACGTCACATTATTAGGAGCCATTCTCTGCACTAATCCAGTCACTTGGATTCAGCTGATACCGCTAAACACCCCTATTAAGGTGAAACATTAAGTTTTTTCATAACTTGTCTACATTTGTTAAATAAATGTAAATAATATTTGATTTGATTTCCCTATATGATCATGTTTAAATAGCAAATTTGCATATTTATCCTATATGCAAACTTATTTTTCTCTTAGTTAATTGGTGTTCAATGGATCATGTACATGTAATGTGATCACCTCAGTGTAAACGTACTTAATACTGATATTTACACCACTTGTACAAGTCTTTTAAATGTATTTCTTTATTATGGACTGTTCTGTTTCATAATAGCATAGATTACTTTTTTCAGGTCTAATACACACTCAGAAAATAAGAAATCTAAGATCTTCCTAGAATGAAACAGTAGTCTAATCATAAAAGACCTCAGCGCATGCAAAATAACATTAGATGTACTGTAACGGAATTAGTTATTGTTCCTTATTATCAGAGTTTTTTTTTCAAGCAGCATCGCAGGAAATTCCCTGAAAATCCTATTGAACACACATTTTAATTTCATTTTTGTATCTTAATCGTGTAGAAGGCAGCGTAAATAATCCAATGGGATTAGGCCATGTTTTTTTCTTCTTCTTCAAATACTTTCATTTTAGACACTTGAGAAACCATCTAACACTGTTGCTCTCTATGTAACAGAATGAGATGATTGGCACAAGCAATTGCAACCAAACTGTACCACAAATCTGAACATCAGAAACAGACGTCCTCACATTTTAACATACTGTGTATATGTCCCGCGTGGACTGCATATACAATAACTATAGAGGATAAATTGATGAAATTAGACATTTCTTGCTGTCCAGATGGTCTTGTAATCCAACTGAAGATTTAAGAGATGTAATAGGAGTCATCGATTAACAGTTATTCTAATATACTTATTGTGAATAAAATCCTGCTCTAAATCCTAATAATCCTGTTTATACAGCATCACATGTATTACATGTATGCGAAAGAGCGTGCATAAAGAGAGCGGGGGGAAATCAGACGGTATAGCCTGTCTTTCAGTATTTTCTGATTAAGGCAAATGAGAGATTTCTAATGAGGACCCATTCTGAAAGCATTTCAAAGGTTTTGACCACCAATACTTATGTATTAAGGCTGATGTAGCGTTATGAGATCATTCAAGCTCCTTAATTGTTAATTATGAACTAGGAGACAAATAAAACTTGCAACATTCAAAAATCATCTTCATTGCAACATAACAATATCTCACAGAATAATAAGGTGAACTATTAATCAATTATACATTGAAAACCACACATTTAACCAACCTTACTTTTCTTGCGGTTCAACTTGGAAAAAGAAAAAAAATCTATATCTTTTAAAAGCTTCATCAAGATGCATTAACTTCTGAAAGTGTTCCTGAAAGTTGTATGTTGGTAAAACTTCAGAAAAATAAACTAAAACACTTTAAAATATATATTCAACTTTTATCTCCTTGATCAAAGAATAATTTTTGAAATGTACCATGATATGATTTTTTTGAAAAAAAAAGATCAATTTTTCCTTAGTGAAGGTAACAGACTTCACCATTTCCCATGATGCTCTGCTGCACGTTAAAACCTCATCCAGACTCTCATTTGTTATGGATGGCATTAGCCTGTTCAAATCCAATTCTCATCCACCAGCATACTACCTTTTATAGATGGAATATAAAAGGATAAAGGAGCTAATGCCTTTTTGATTCATTATATAATGTTTTTCTGAGAGCAGACAAGGGAAATTATAATAATAATAATGGAATAATTTAAATAAATTTACTTTAGTTAATGTGCTCTGCGTGGGCTGGCTAATCTGAAGGAAATGTTCCGTAAATGACAAAAACAGGGAGAATCCCAACTAAAAGCAAATCCTCTCCGACTCTCTCACCACCAATCACTTTAGTTCATTTGGACAAGATTAGAGCAAAAATAAATGAGTAACATAAAATAGTGCACATTATCTGTCCTACTAACAAAATGCACTGACAACCTGAAATACAGAGATGTGCGTGAAGTTTAGCATGTGTTAATGCTGAGGAAACCTACATGAAGAATAGACTGAATAAAGTCACCTCTGACCTCTGTGCATTGGGCACAATAGATCATATGCTCTATAGCAGGGTTCCTCAAATCTTACCCTGGAGGTCCAATGCGCTGCAGAGTTTAGCTCCAACCCTGATCAAACTCAGCTACCTGTGATTTTCTAATGATCCTGAAGACATTGATTAGCATGCTCAGGTGTGTTTGATTAGGGTTAGAGCTAAACTCTGCAGGAAAGTGGATCTCGTGGGCCAGATTTGAGGATCCCTGCTCTATAGGATCAAACAATAACAGTATTATTATGTATTTGCAATTTATGATAAATTATGAATTTGATAAATTGCAATAAATGAGAAATAGTATGTATAATTAAAATTCATTTATTATGCATCTGCCATAATGAATCAACATTTCACACACCCAGTTTGTTAAACTCTTCTGTAATTAAAAATTATGGGAATATCATTCATTCAACATGTATAAAACTGCAGATAGGCACTTTATAATTCAATTACATTTTTGGCAATTATAATTTTTTGACATATATTTCACAAAAATATGAATCAACCTGCTAAAATATCATGGTCTTATCCATTTTCACACTTTTGTATGGCAGTGCATGTTGCTATCAATGCATAACACTTTATTAAACAGATCCAGTGGTCTGTCCACTTTAACATCTCTTACAATGTCATGCTTTACAACAAGAAAGAAAACAATGCTTTTGGTATTAGCAATAGATTCAATGGAATTCGCAACATATTCAAAGTTATGTCCACTTTGACATCTCTTTCCATACCAATTCCATGCTTTACCAAAAAAACCTGCTTATGAGGATTAGCTGTTCTTTGTTCTAAAACGAAAGGATGGTGATAAAGGGGATAATTACTGTCACTGTGTAAAATCCTCTTCGCATGCACCAGGAAGCCAGCC